TTTGAAATCTTTCTACTTTTTTAATGTTGGCATTTGTTGGTATAAACTTCCCTTGTAACAATGCTTTTTCTGTATCCCATAGTTTTTGGTAAGTTGTGTTTCCATTTTCACTTGTTTCTGGAATTTTTTTTATTTCTTTCTTAATTTCTTCATTGACCCTGCATTCATTCAGGAGCATGTTGTTTAATTTCCATGTATTTGTAGTTTTCAACATTTCTCTTATTGCTGATTTCTTGTTTCATTCCATTATGGTCTATGAAGAGAATTGCTATGATTTTGATTTTTTAATATTTGTTGATACCTATTTGGGGCCTAATAGCTATCCTGAAGAATGTTCTTCATGTGCTGATAAGAAGAATGTGTATTCTGCAGCTGTTGGATGAAATGTTTCACAGATGTTTGGTACATTTGGTCTAAAGTGCAGTTTAAATCTAACGTTTCTTTGTTCACTTTCTGTCTTTTGCTGAGAGTGGAGTGTTGAAGTCCCAAAGCTATTATTGTATTGGAGTCTGTCTCTCTCTCCCTTTAGATCTAATGACATTGTATTGTATTGTGTTGTGTTGTGTTGTGTTGTGTTATGTTATGTTATGTTATGTTATGTTATGTTATTTTTGAGACAGGGTCTCGCTTTATCACCCAGGCTAGAGTACAGTGATACAATCTTGGCTCACTGCAACCTCTGCCTCCCAGGCTTAAGCCATCTTCCCACCTCAGCTTTCCAAGCAACTGAGACTACAGGCATGCGCCACCATGCCCAGCTAATTTTTGCACTTTTTTGTATAGACAGGGTTTCACCATGTTGCCTAGGCTGGTCTTGAACTACTGAACTCAAGTGATCCACCCACCTCAGCCTGGCTGAGGTGCTGGCTGAAATGACAGATGTGAGCCACCATGCCCAGCCAACATTTGCTTTTTTATATCTCGGTGCTTCAGTGTTAGGTGCATATATATTTAGAACTGTTATATCCTCTTGCTGAATTGATCCATTTATCATTACATACTAACCTTCTTTGTGTCTTTTTATTGTTTTTCATTAAAAATCTTGTCTTATCTGATATAAATATATCTACTCCTGCTTGCTTTTGGTTTGTTTGTGTGGAGTATTTTTTCTGTCCCTTTACTTTCAGCCCATATTTGTCTTTTTATAGGTGAAGTGAGTTTCACTAGGCAGCATATAGTTAGGTCATGGGTTTAAAAAAAAATTGTAATAACCCTCATTACTTTGGATAGGTCA